ATTATCTTTTTGACAGTAATGGTATCCAGCCAATTTTTCTCCCTCGTGCCGATGGACAAACTCTTGGGCGAACGAGCTTTTGCCTGTTCCAGCACCACCCCAGATAAGGAAGGCACGAGACTCCCGAGGCCCGAGATCTTTTTCTAACCAGTTGTCAATGTCACAGAACAACCACTCACGACCAACAAATTCTTCCTTCATCCGATCAGAGACTGGGTTGAACTTTAGCTCCTGCTTCATCTCACAAGATAATTGCTGTGACTCTGATATAGCTTCTTCTAGCTTTTCCAGTCGGCTGTTGGTAGAATCGTCCAAGTGAGATTCCTAGTACTTCTTGCATCTGCTATTTTCGAGAGATCGACACCTGTGTTGAACATACCATTTGTCAGTCTCGGAGACCATTCTAATACATTCAACAGTTGCGATATATCAGTAGTTTTGGCGTTGACTACATCAAGCTTTCTCGGTCCCAAGGGAGCCATGAAAATCTTAGCAATCTCCCATGAGGCACCAACGGCCAACCACTGAGTGTTGTCACTGTTGCTCCAGGATATTTTTCTTTTATCACGTGATCGGTGGGCAGTCTTCAAGCGAGATTCCCACGCAGGTACATTATTTGGCCAATTTGCAAGCAGTGATGTGTGGTACTTGTCAGCAGCATTTTGAATTATGGTTTCTAAGCCGTTCCGGGTAATCTGGATTGCTCGACCAACAGTAACCCAGTTTCTATATTCTGGATCACTTAGTCTTCTGTGAGCCATCACTATTTGCTTTTAGCCTTGAAAAAAAATGCATTAGTATATTAACCTCCTCCGCAGGCATCTGGAACAACATGTCTAAAGTTTCTACAATATTACTTCTCCCCAATAAAAATACAGGCACCATAATTGATCATATCTATTGAAATGCTTGCCAATTTCTTGCTTTAAGTTTGCGTTGTTGATAATCTCGCCAAATGTTAAGTGTTGGTACAGGTTCGATTCTTGCCAGGAAGTCGTTAATAACAGAGTTTAATAAACCATCGATCTTATGTGTTTTTTCTTCTTTCTTATCATTCTCGTACCCAGAGCCCTTCTTACGCGCGTTCGACCGAGCCCGACGAGGGGCTCTGGCCAAATCCATATCAAACTGGCTTCTGATTGGCCACAACTAAATATATGGTTTATTGTATAAAATATGAATAAAAATCAAGCGCTCCATGAAGCGTTGGTTTCGTTTTGGATAAAACTGGGAGAAAAGACATTATTAAAGTTGAAAGAACAGCAGTACGAAGGAGGGCCCCCTATACCTCTTCACAATATGCTTTCACGTAAAAATATTTTGCCTTTTCACGAGTCACAGATTAAGAAAATCATCGATCACGTTTCACGGCTAAGTAAAATAAGCCCTTCACGCTTCACGCAAAACGTATAGGGGGCCCGATCACGTTTCACGGCGAAGTAAAATAAGCTCTTCACGCAAAAAGTATAGGGGGCCCTCACGAAGCAGTTAGGAAGATTGTTGTTGATAATCGCCCACAAAAGCGGTAGATGTCGCTAATTTTATTTATTTAAATCAATTAGTTGATTGAAATTAATAGGTTGAGACGTGATGTTCTCATAGCAAAAAGTCAGCATATTTTATGGC